TGCTAATCATATCACATATGACTCTTGTTGTTGGGTAGCATCTCTATGCTATAGCGCCCAACTCCTTATGCTCCAAGGTCCCTAACCGTTAGGATGACCTTGTTCAAGTAACCAACCTTTCTACTGTAAGTATCCGATACGAACCTGTCTAGTCAAGGAAAATCAGTGGCACCCTAATTTCATAGACCCACCACCGATTGTACAAGACCAAAGACGGTGCAAGGTTTGGGGGAGCAATTCAACTTAAACATTGCTGAGGGATCGTTCTACTTCACTATCGCATGTAGACAAAAATATTATCGCACGTGAAAGTAGAACATAGTAAGAACGGCATTAACACAGATATGACTTGGTATAGCCCATTGTTCCTCTGGGGATCTCCATCTCCATTAATCTCCATGATCCATGTATGCCATCCTTCAGTGATGAGTCCGCCAAGACTAGCTATCACTAACGCAAGGCAGTGAACTAAAATTACATAGTCGCGGATAAGATCATCACAGTTTGGCACGCAGGCCATTACTATAATGTTGACAATATCTATGAGGCTCCAGCCCATATTGTCATCCTCATCACATGCAAGCCATGAATTAATTACATACATGCATCACATAGACATAAGGGCTATACCAGTCATGAAATCCTGCAAAACAGAGTTAACCGATTCCGACGTCTAATCTTAAAACGCCAAAACCACCATCTTCCCGGCCTTTTTTCGCAAAAATAAATTCAGCGAACCCGACAACATCGGGGAGAATCGGATGTAAAAATTTTTTCTCTACAATTTTCGTTTAAGAATTGTCTCAATCCAAGGTCGTATGCAAAAGTTACGACCGTTTTACCGAACATCACTTTTTCTTGCACCCCGGCGCCCGGTAATAGATCCAATCTACCACCACCGCGCATCACATGCGCTCGGCTCTTGACCTAGGTTCGATTCGATCAATCTAATTGATCTCCAACTCAGCATGAATGGGTTTACATGTATCACTTAACTCGGATGGCGGAATTCCGACCGGTACGAGTAGATCGTTACAAGACCAACATAGCGAGATCACGAACCATGATCAGAAAGACATCTACAACCGCGCATATCTCCATATGCATACATCCGAATCCATAACGACGCAGCTACATCTCTGATACCACTGAAGGGTTATGAGGTTGCTACACTAGCCGAAAAACAAAAATTTCGACCCCATAAACCAGGAACTACCGCTAGTTATGGATCACGGGATTACCACTAGACGCGCAGGTGCAGCGGAAGCGACTCGGTGTAGTCGTGCACGTCGCGGCAGTGCCGTGTAGTTGCGTGGTCGTCCTTCCGCCCGTCCCTCTCGTGCGGTTCGTCCTTGTGCTCCAGATGCAGCACCTCCGAGGTATCCACACGTACAGGGAGGAAGCGTCGCGCCTCCGGACTGCTAGGTCCACGAGGAACGAAGGCACGGGCGTGGGGAAGGGTGGCGGCTGCCAAATGGCGTGGATTGACCTAGCCCTGCCGCCCTCCCATTGCTTATATAGGCGTCCTAATGAGCTCCCGAGTTGGAGGCCCATTAGCAACCCTAAACCTTGTCTAATTTGGGTCCAATCCGAATTAGGCTTCCAGCCCCTTAAGCGTGCGACCCTATGGGTTCACGCACACATAGACATGGCCCGAATACTCCTATTTGGCCAATAGTTGGCAGCAGCCTCTAGCAAGGCGTGTCAACTCCTATGCATACGTAAAGATCATATCAGACAAACCACCACAAAACCACATACATGTTATTCCCTTTGTCACACGATATTTGGTCCAACTCGTGGGTTAACTATTAACCCAAGCACGGCCATGCATTTTCTTGATCCAAATCATTCGAGTGGTCCAGTGATATCTCTCTCTCATGAAGAGGGGCAAATTCCATCTTGATTGACTATGTCTCACAGCATGTTTCCCGACAAACTTGAAAACCACCTTTATAACTACCCAGTTACGGAGTAATGTTTGATAGTCCCTAAGTAGGTCATTTCACATCTTGAGTACATACAACAATCTCAGGTCTAAGGACATAACGTATATGATGTGTAAAGAGACAATAAGAACATCTCACGTTGGGTCTGTCCAGCCCCATGTCATATATGTACCCACATTATTAGTTTGACATCTCCATGTCTATGACTTGTGAAACATAGTCAACAACTAATAATGTGCTGATCTAATATTCATGTGTGTCCTCACAAGAACTCTGATCAGGGACAACTTTGGAATAACCATACAAGTAAAAGAGTTTTACAAACAATTCACATAATTGCCAATCGATACAAGTTGTCTTTAATGGATATTCAATTGAACTCATAATATATCATGAATACAAGGTAATACAATCATCACTATGATTATCTCTAGGGCATAATCCCAACAGTAGGCCGCCAGCGGGCTCTGGCCAGGCGAGAGTGGAGATGAAGGGGCCTGCCATAGGTACAAGCGGATGCCGGTGAGCTCTGGACGGGTGGGGAATGGGAAGAAGGTGTTGGCGGCATGCGCAGCAACCGGTGACGGACGGAGGCGCCGCGGGGGATGCCCGGGATGGAGGCGCCGCGGGAAGTGAAACGAGCGGACAAGGATTTTTTTATGGGAGCGCGTCTGGATGGGAGTCACGGGACGGACATCCTCATCATATCATTATCGTAAATTATACATGTTTACTAGTAAAAAATACGGCATTGTTATACACACAAAAAAAACAAGGTTCCACTGCTGACCATCGTTACCGTTTAAAAAAAGAAAAAAAGGGGATTGTTACGGCTTGTTCAAAAGAAAAATAGTATCACCACTGGATTTAAGAAACAATCGATCATAAGGATAAGTCCTTACAAGTGCCAGTTTTAAGAAAAAAACTGAGTGTAGTACCATGGCTACCTAGTTTTTTCGCAACTGGTAACGAAGGAGGGTAACGGTAGATTCCAACAAAAATGCACAACGTGGGTGCTCATGAAGTTTGGAGCACGTGAACGTGGGCACGACACCCTCCTTCATTACCACTTTTGGTTAAATCGAATCTGCCGGTGTTTAACCAAAAGTGGTAATGAACTTGCTTGGGCCAAACTATCCTAATGATTTGATATTTTCATGCACCAACAATTCCTCCTCGGCACTCATCTATCGCATCGTCTTTCTCTTTCACACATTTCCCTACTAGAGAAATAGGTGTCCTTTCAATGCACCGCTCTTAGTTGACTGCAAACTAATATTAATATAGAAGAGGAAAAGCACCGAAGTGTATTTACAAATTTACAAAACCAAGAAAAAAGGTGCCAAAGCACTAAGCAGCACTAGGCTACCCCATAGTTAAGAATTAATGATCCGCTGATTTGCCTCTGTCGCTTTGCTCCTGCTAAACTCCATGTTATCACCTCTTCCTTGATTTTCGCAATTAGAGACTCTAGACTCAAATGTCGTCGTTGACAGACGCTTGCATTCCGCTCTTTTCATAGCTCCCAAACGACAAATCGCCCAAGCCGGGCATACCTTGGCCTTTCCAAAATTAACCATGGATTGATTTGAAATAGAGAGAGGGAGGGAGGATTAGATAGATGAGAAGTGAGGAGGAATTATTGGTGTGTGAAAGACAGAGATGATGAGATAGACGAGACACGAAAGTCAAGTCAGTATATTAGTCTATCAATTAGATTAGTAGGCGTGTTAGAAGGGCAGGCCTGGGCATTAGAGGGACAATATGGTCGATGAAGGATGTGTAGTGGTTGGAGTGTAGTGCATCAAGGAGCGGTGAATCAGGAGGAGAGCATGGGGAGCGGGGTTTTTTTCCCCACTCATCCCGCGACGTTAAAACAACACTCCTCCAACAAAGGGCGGATCTATATTATTGCTTGCGGATGTGGTGGCACACATGATAAAACCAAAACTATATTGTTACTTTTAGAATTTCACCTATATATTAGCTAGCGACAAAGGAGTTATGAAGTGTGGCACCTCCTTTCATTTACTCTAGCTCCACCTATGTCCTTGAATTGTCGCATAGAGTGGAGCCGAGGGAGCACTACCAAATAGACCTAATACTAGAATCAGAACTATGAGAAACAACACCCTAGATGCTTCCATCTTTTAAGTTCAACATGGTTGACGCTCTACTTTTTGCATAACATTTTTTCAAATGATAATGTTATTGTTCAGAATCCTATGGTCTTGTACATGGAATGCCACATGGGAACAAAACATGGCAACCCAAATTTATACTCCATACTATGCACGGAATGTGTTCCGTTTGAAACCTAAACAATGCATGTTACGACCCCTGAATTGTACACAATTAGTATCACATAATGTAACTCAATCTTCTTTATATGTTGACCCTGATGACCCATTTTGCTAGATTCACCACTGTAAAGGCTGCTTTCTCGTGCGAAAACAAATATACTTACGAACCCTGAATTGTAGTATAAGAAAATATAAAAAGTTGTTCTTTGCTCTGGATTCATGTGAATCCACGCCACAATCTAGCTGTCCTGTCCTCCGTTCTAGTTTTAGTATCATCGCCTGTCCGGAATCATCGGCCCACATGTCGGCGGCAGGCATGATTATCGTTATTGACCGTTAAACCAGCCACTCCAGCATGTGGGCAGACATGACGGTCCCACCACTTCCAAGCGCGCGGACCCGTCACCCGCGGAGGGGGAGTCCCGCTGTCCCGCAGATCGACACGGCCAGATGGCCGTTTCTTTCCGATCCAACGGCCGAAACAGTCACATGAAGGACCCACTCGTCAGCGTGCAACGTGGCAGAGGCATCCCAGCAGGCGACTGGGACCCACATGGCATTCGCCTACACGCATCCGCTAGCGTGGGCCCTACAACAGAACACAAAGGCTGGTTCGATAAGACCCGGGCACGTTTTTATACAGATTTTCAAAGAAAATCCCAAAAAAGACAAAATAATCCCAGAAATAAAAATCGCCGTGGAGACGAGTCGCCGCCGGCACCGCCCGGCCTGGCCTTCTTCTCCGGCGATGGCGGAGCCCTTTGGGTTGGGGGATTCCGCATCCGACTCGATCCCACCGGAGCCCCCCTCCGCCTCCCACGGGCCGCGGCGCGCCGCGGCGCGCGCGCGCGTGCAGGCCGAGATGCGGAAGAGGATGGAGAGCGTCGACGATCTGATCGAGGAGGCCAAGCTGCGCACCGTCTGGTGGGCGCTCTGCATCTTCGCCATCTCCTACGTCCTCACGCGTGAGCACGCCCACTCTCTCTCTGCTTTCGTATCTCATATGCGACCGAATTGGTTTCCCTCCGACGCAATACAAATGTTCCGCAGCATCGCCCAGACGAGGGATTAGATTGGTTCGGTAGCGACTACCTTGCCTCTCCGTGTTTATCTGCGGAACACAGCATAGGTGTGAGAGATTTTGGGTAACTGATGCTGTGCATGCTGGGATTGCGATGTGATTTGATGGCTCATGCGTTACAAAACTTGAGACCTTTTGTTAGCCGGGCAGCTAGAGCTTGTCGTCAGACCATCTGATAGCTCCTGAATCTATCCGGTAGTGACCTGTAATGCCTGTTACGTGGCATTTTTTTGGATGTTAGCTACTGCTTTACTGCCTGCATTCTATTTAGTTACTACTACTACTACTTTTCGGTTACAGTTACTAAGAAAGATTGCTGGATTTGCTTGAGATCCCGAAAATCCGAATTTTAGGATCCTTAATTAATTTCATTTAGGAACTTTTTGCATGCATTATTTATGAAACTGCTGGAGATGGGAAGTGTAATCTAGGGTTTCCTGAGAATTTCGTTGTGGATAGAGGGCTTCTGGATGGTCTGGTGCAAAAGATAGATGTTTTAGTGGTTATTAAAACGTGCCGAATATGTAGCAGAGGTTTTGGCATTAGCTCTTGGAAGCTTGAAAAGAGAGTGATGTTCATTCTGCCCTGAGGTGAGGTACAGTTTGAGTGTAAATTCCAAGCCATAATCACTCAGATACCAAATTTTGAAATTTTCCTGTACTCTGGGGTTGAAGATGAGTTTTTGTGTTACACATTTCTTTGTTGTCTACCTGCAGTGTGAGGTCTAGGGAATTCCTCTTTCAAGCTATAAATTGTGTTATGAATAGTTTTATGCCTTGATGCTTCAGAGATTTTTAGCTTTAGTGACTGCTGGCGAGTTGTGATTTTATTCAAAAAGGAAATGATGCAGGAAATTTGTTTGGTACCTGGATGTGATTGAAGTAATGGTTGAACACAAATGTAAACAGCAACTAGTTTGTGTCCTGATGAATCATATAATGAGTATCCCTTCTTTGTCTTGTACTCAACTTGGCTCAGAGTTCATTCACGATACTATTATGATTTCTTGAGCCTTCATGATATCAAAAGATGAAGGCAAAGGGAATCTAGTGAGAGATGTGAGTTAGTTTTTGCTTGTCTATTGTTTAGATATTGGTGAGTTAGCTTGCAGAAATATAATTGCCTATAGTCCCACCACTTGTGAACCATTTCTGAAGTAATTGGCTAGTTGTCAGTGGATAAGTAGCTTCAGATGAATTAACATTTTACCTTCACAGGGGTGGAAATGGAAGTGAAATAAGTCACTATTGAGTCATGTACAAATTTATTTATTTATTATATTTTGAATTAAGCATGCATATATTTTTCTCTGATCTTTTTACTTGTCAAAATAGCCTTCTTTCCTTCCTTTCTTTTTCGTTGTTTCACTTTCTGCTCTGTGAATGTGTTGGCATCCTTTAAACACTTAGTAATTATTTATCTTTCAACCCTTATTATGGACTCATTTTTTTGCACAGAGGTTTCTTTATGTTTGTATACGCAGTATATTTCTTCTTCAATATATAGTCCAGTCACCTGTATCCATGCTAAGATCCATATCATTTTGTTTCAAATAGATACAAGTAAATCAATGTGGACAAATGTGCCCATGTCAATCCTTATACTTGCATTTCTCCGGTATCTCTCCTTCAAAGTGGAGTTCCGTTGGAGGGAACAGCCTGTACGTAAGCAGACATATTTGTCTCAAGCCTCAAAGAGGCAGTTGTCTGCAAATGATCATCGCCTTTCGACTGTACCACCAGTCTCCAGATGGAGAAGGAAAGTTGGTTCACCTTCTGTTGAGGCTGCTTTTGAAAGTTTCATTGAGAATATTTTGCGAGACTTTGTTTTAGACTTGTGGTATTCAGATATTACTCCTGACAGAGAGGCCCCAGAACTGATACGTGGCTTAGTACTTCACGCTCTTGGTGAAGTATCAGGCAGGGTGAAAGAGATGAATCTAGTTGACATGCTAACAAGGTGACTAAATGCTTGATATACTATCTAGTACATACCATCATTATTGAGTAATTATTCTATGTTAAAGTTTTTTTTTTCCTATTTCAGGGATATGGTTGATTTGATTGGTAACCATTTAGATATTTTCCGGAAAAACCAAACTCTAATTGGTGTTGATGTCATGAGGACTTTGTCTTCAGAGGAAAGAGATGAGAGACTGAAGCAGCACCTAATAGTTTCACAGGAACTTCATCCAGCACTGTTATCTTCAGAGCATGAGTACAAGGTAATAGCTAACCATTTTAGCTTTCATGTTATACAATAATACAGCCATTAATTAATACGGATTTTAGGTTCTTCAAGAAATCGTTGGGGGCATTATGGCTCTAGTTTTGAGACCACAAGATGCACAGAGTCCACTAGTTCGCTGTTTCTCCAGGGAACTGATGACGTGCCTAGTCTTGCAGCCTGTTATGAACTTCGCAAGCCCTGTGTAAGTTGTCTGCTAAAACGGCTGATTTATGGCAATATATAGGCTTCAAGCAGTCTATGGGCTGCTTAACTGTAATTTAAGTAATCCAATTTTAGTTTCCGCCTTTACCTGCGCCTAAGCTTTGTTCCAAATTTTTATTTGTTGTTTGTTTGTTTTTGTTTCAGCTACATCAACGAGTTGATTGTCTACCTTCTAAACAACAAAGATACAGGTAATGTTGGAGGAAATACAAACATGGCTAATACGGAAGTAGTGCCTTACAAAGGAGGTTCACAAGGTTGTCAAACGGAATCAAGGAATTTGACTGTAGAACCTAGCAGCTTAGTTCCACCAAATAATTCTGGGATGAGGTCACTTGTTACTTCTGAATGTGGAAAGTCGAAAGTGTCAGAGGATGACAATGACAGTACCATCCAACCTCGGCAGCCAGACTGGGCTGTGGTATTGGACGCAGCTACTAAAAGGAGGTCAGAGGTTCTTGCCCCTGAGAATCTTGAGAACATGTGGGCAATCGGAAGAAATTATCAAAAGAAAATGATTAAAGTAGACCAATCATCTAGGTTGAAAGGTTCTGGAGGTTCAGATAACAGTCCAAGTGCAGGGGCAGTGGCTAAAGAGCTATCCTCTAACTTCAACGAGAGAATTGCATCTGTTGATGATAAATACATGGTCAATTTGATGCAAAGTAAAAATAGGAATGCTCAATCTACTTTCGTCACAGGTAGTCATCCACTTGCTCTACAAAATACGAATGAAGTGAAACCAAAAGAGGGAAGTCAAGTTCATTTCAGCAGCAAGGAGAAACCACATGAAACCAGCAACAGTGTAAAAGCTCAACTAAAACGATCTAATAGTACTCCTGATATTGAGAAAAGATATTTGGCAAAAAGTAACCAGCCCATGGTTCCCAGTGAAATGCTAAATGTGAGGAAAAATCAGGATGAGAGAGGTGCCGGTCCTGCCTCACATGTTGAGGTGCTAATGCATGTTCCGAAGATAAGATGCCGGGTAATTGTTTTCTAATCCTATCACTAGAACAATTCCAGTATCATCATCTTAACCACAAGCATCAAGTTGCTGGCTTTTACTGAATAAATTTGATCAATTGGATTAATTGAATAAATTTAACCAACCTGGTCAGGGTTATGTTGCTATTATTCACCACAGTTTCTTGTGAAATTTTATTATTAAGAATTATGCCATTAGGATCATCTCTTGTGAGATAAGTTTCAGAAGTTTGTAACAGTTGGCAAATTGATCTCTGATTTTGTTGTGTTGCATGTTGCTGTTATTTTATTATTCTCTTTGCGGGCAGTGGTTTTAAAATATTTATGGGCATGGGGTTTGCATTTCACTCGCCCTTAAGCTGTGCCTTTCTACTCCTAGAAATCAATCACTAGCTTCAGTCTTGTATTACCTGCCATATATGTTCCGGTTTTCATTCTTCCATAAGTAATCTAAACTATGGGAATATCTCTTCGTTTTATACTATTCCACATTTTCTGATTAGCACGCGGATTCCATGGTTTCCATTGGTTTTACGATTTAGTACTTGGTGTCCGATTAGAATCAGATCTGTAGAATCCTGTGCTTAATTTGTATCTAGTCCTCATTATGAGAAATACATAAGATTCCACTGAATGACTACATGCATGATCCACAATGTGGCACTCATTGTAAGGCTGGTGTGTGAGGCCCAGCCCACATGTCACTATGTCAGTGAGTGGCATACATTGAACATATGAAGTTATTCAGCGTCATATGGGGAAAAATTGGTATTCTGTGGTGATTCGGTCTGATAATTAGTAATTAATTTCTAACAGTTTCCATTCCTGCATGACTACATTATATCAGGCCTAGCGATGAATGTCACCATCAGTTCTCTTGTTCTTGATACAATATACATCTATTGATGTGAAGTAATGTCATTCTCCACAGCTGATGTGATTTGTTGGGTTCTTTATTTCTTTGCAGGTTGTTGGTGCATATTTTGAGAAACTAGGTTCAAAATCTTTTGCAGTTTATTCTATCGCGGTGACTGATGCGGATAACAAGGCCTGGTTTGTGAAAAGAAGGCATGGTTTTACTTGGCATATTTGTACATTAATTGCAGCTTCGAGAGAGGAACTTGTATGATCCTGACCTATAGCTTCTATTTGTAGATACCGGAATTTTGAACGTCTTCATCGACAACTGAAGGAGATACCTAATTATTCATTACATCTGCCTCCAAAGAGTTTTCTTTCGTCTAGTGTTGATGATTACCTTGTGCACCAACGATGCATTCTCCTGGACAAATATCTTCAAGTATGATTGGTTCTCTAGCATTTTGCTCATCTTTTACTTCAAATGTGTTTATAATATTAATTTTGTGTTCAATAGGATCTCTTGTCTATAGCTAATATTGCAGAACAGCATGAAGTTTGGGATTTCCTGAGTGCATCCTCAAAGGTGTGTGATTTACACCAAGCAAATCCTTATAGCTTTGTCCTTAATGATAAGGAATGCACACATCTTCATTCAGTGCTTTCTTGAGGTTTTTAGCACTTCATTTCTTTTCCATTTTGTAGAATTACTCTGCTGGAAAGTCCACCTCTGTTATGAAAACCTTGGCTGGTATGCATGTCCCCACACTTGTTTTCCCCCCTTAAAAGCTATAACTTGCTATGTTCATTTCTTAAAGACATTTATTTGTTTTAAAACAGTTAATGTTGATGATGCAATGGATGACATTGTTCGACAATTTAAAGGAGTTTCAGATGGTTTGAAACGGGCGGTCGGCACATCACCTTCTAGCGCAACTGCCCAATTTGCAGATAATAGGATGTCTCTATCTTGGAACCAGGAAGAGAAAGATAACCACAACTTGCATCAAAGAAGCTTGGAAAGTGCTCATAGCCTTTCAGATGGTGATAGTAACTACGAAGATCACACCTCATCTATGAATAGTGGATGCCATTCAGACAATGAGGTCAATAATAGAGGCCATACTTCAAATGATGTTAAGCACATCAAAACATACTCCAGTTTGGATAAACAAGCCAGTGACCAAATAGGAAAACCTACAAGGGCATATTCTGATTCTTCAAACATGTCATCTCTAAATACATACGAGGATCCAACAGGAATTCCTCCTGAGGTACACCACACCCTGCAACTACATAATTTATTTGATGCAGATCATAGGGACTGGTTGTTCTTACTGTTTTTCCTTTTACTGATAAACCTTCTCTTCTATTTTGGCAGTGGATGCCAACAAATGTTAGTGTGCCTTTATTGAACCTGGTTGACAAGGTATTCCAGCTAAAGCGACGGGGTTGGATACGGTTAGTTCCTTTATAATGAACTTTATCAAATTTGTTCCTCAGAATTTGCTTACTAGTTTCAGACCACTGTTACATAGTAACAAATTAAGCGCCTGTTTGGAACAAACGAATAGAAAACACAGGAATGAGAGAAAACACAGGTATAGGAAATGAACGTAGTTGCAAAATAAAGGAATGAAAAACATAGGAATTTTTGAAGATATGTGTTTGGAATGCAGGAATGAAAAGCATATAGTAAACTTTCAAACTTGATTGCAATATTAACTTTTTTTATACTAATCAAATCCTTAAGAAAATATAGTTCAGAACATCATTTTTAGTATATAAACTAGAGAGAGAAAGCCATACCTACCAAGCGGACAAAACTTTTCTTTTGTGTGCCATGGGGCTCAAACAGGAAGCTGAATGTTGCCTCGCTGTTAAGGCTAGATTAGCAATATAAGCATGTTCAGAGAGCGAGCGAAGCTACAGTGGCCACAGGAAAGCTTTCCATTGACTCGGAGCTCATATTTGGTTTCCTACAAAAGTACATGCTTCTCCACTGTTCCTATGGAAAGTTCTTTGCCGATTCCTCCAAACCAAACGCATAGCGACGTCAACAAAACAATGGTTTGGCATTCCTTTAAACTTCCTCCATTCCAAACAAGGCCTAAGTGAATGATACACTATAATACTGTAGAAACTTGTGACCCAAAGGCATTTAATTGGCCTGATTGGAATGGTTACTAGATATCAACATATGGTTCCCATTTCATGTATTTTGGCAGTATATTCTGTCATGTGGGGCGCCAGGAGGGCGCCGGTCACCATGGCCAGATCATGACCACATGCCTTAGTGGAGAGGCTTCAGTCAAGCCTAGCATTTAGGAAGTTTCGCATGCAGCAAGTGTAGTCAAACCTAGCATTTAGGAGGGTTTCAATCTCAGCCGCGCATGCAGCAGGCATCTCCAGGTTGCTAGTGGCCGTGAGCCTATTTATCCTTTGTAGTGCACTCAGCTTGGAAGGAAGCAAGAACAATATTCCTATCTCCCAATTCCCCTTCTTCAACAACAGGGCGCAGAGGGGTAAAACCTCGTCCTGAATCCAATTCCCCAAATGCTCTAGTCTCCTGGCAATGGTTATCTCTTATCCCAAATGAACTAAGGTCCATAACATCTGGTATTCAGAGCCAGGCGATCCTCATCGGCCACCACCCCGCCACTAAACTTCACCGTGCCCACGCCCTCAGCCGCCGACGCCTCGATGGATTTTCCTAACTTTGATGGGAAATCTGATCCTCTGCCCTTCATCAACCAATGCGAGTCCTACTTCCTCCAGCAACGCATCATGGAGGAAGAAAAAGCATGGGTGGCCTCCCGTAATTTGAAAGATGGCGCCCGAATGTGGTTCCGCCAAGTCCTGCAGGATGAGGGCACCCCAGCGTGGCGCCGCTTCACCGAGCTGCTGCACCTGCGCTTCGGATCGCCCCCATGCTCCAACCTGCTCCATCATGTGTCCCCTGCTGCCGACAACACCTTACGCATCCTTGCTGATATGTCCACACTGCTGGATCGCCTAAAGGCATTGCTTAAGGCGAAGGAGGAACGTGAACGCCTGGCGGCAGTACGCCTACAGGCAGCCGCAAGGGGACTCCTGGCATGCCGGCGGGTGCAGTCTCTCCGTGGGGAGAAGCGTCTGGCTGTTATCTCCAGGTCCATCACGTGGCCATCATCAGAGGAGCAGGCAGCAGTGCGCCTGCAAGCAGCAGGGCGAGGTTTCCTTGTCCGGCGGGTGGTGCGGAAGATGCGCATGCTGCTCAGCTCGTCGCTGCAGTTTGCGTTCAGCCACTCGGGCTCGCCCATACATCCTGTGGCTCCAATTGAAGTGGAGGTCCAAGGATGGGGCCTTCCGGTGCAGCGAACGACCAGCGCCACCCAACAAGAAGCCCAACAACAAGCATCGACGGCGGTGGCCGTCTCATTTGTTCTAGCACCCGCCTTGGTGCTTGACAGATCCAGTGTAAGAGTGGGCTGGTACATCCTCCAGCCTTCATCCGACATGAAGCCAGCGGTTCGGCTCTTCCCGTGGGATCCAGGAGGACATAGTTGCAGTCCAAATTTGTTTCATATTTTAGTTCCAAATTTATTTCATATTTTAGTTTTAAATAACAAAGGTAAGCCGAGATGTAAAAGGCTTAACCCTAGGTCGCGTCAAGTAGGTTTGCGGCAGCTCGTGGGCGACTGATGTTTGTTTAGATGATAATAAAATTTGGGTGGGCTATCGTCATTTTTTTCATGTTTATAGCCATGCACAGACCACTTTTATTTTCACCATCCATGCTTCAATCCTACAACTTAATCACTTCTGCAATCCAGCCGTTTCTATCTTTCAATTACAAAACATGATGTTTTACTTGATATGTTACGGAATCTGCAGGAGACAGGTTCTTTGGATATCAAAACAAATTTTGCAGTTGGTCATGGAAGATGCAATCGATGAATGGATCATAAGACAAATCAATTGGCTACGAAGAGAAGATGTCATTGTACAGGGAATACGTTGGATTCAAGATGTAAGGACATTATCCCCTCATTTTTTCCTTCACTGGATTTATCTTGGTTCTCTTTTAAGTTTTAGTTTAAAATTTGATATTTCTCTTGATGCCTCTGTGGCACTACTTTTTTTTTCTCGAACGTGCAGGTGAGGTGAGCTGTGTATCTTAGGAAATGGTCCCTTAAAAGACCCTTAAAAGTAACCACTCTAACTCCACTAGAGATCAGAGGGGTTGTAACACTGAAAAAAAAATCGCCCAAGCAAACTAGGATAATGACCATATAAAGAATATGCAGCTAGCCCTCATCACGACCTAGGCCCAGTTCTTCGAGCTTTTTGGCTCCGGCATCACCCCCAAAGTCTCAACTCTTCCTTGAAGAATTGCTGTGCAACTTGTAAGGAGGGGAGATGCCATAGAAAACATATTAGCTCCTGTGAGTCCATAAAATCCAGGCCCCCCAAAGTCACAACGCTATTAAATCCCTTCCTTTGAGCTTTGTCAATGTGACTGACCTGCTTTTCTCCACCAATCAGCAATGCTTGATTCAGATCCCTGGTACTTCTAATTGTGTGATTGGGCAAATCATGTGAAGAATTGTTCCAAACGCATAAAGTTTCACATGGATCTATCTTTGTAATATGTGCATCTCAATAGTTTCTTTATCCTTTGTGGTTTATAGGTATTATTACAGAAGTAATGGATTCCAACTTTGTCTTCTTTTTCTGTGCAACTAATGGATTTCTTATTTACAGACCCTTTGGCCAAACGGTATATTCTTCACCAAGTTGGATGGATATAAGGGGAATGCAGGCACAAGTCAATTTGACAAGCAGTCATTTTGGAGTCCCAACCAGGCTGTTGGCAACAAAAAGAGCACAAGCTCTTTTGAACTTCAGCTTGAGGCATCCAGAAATGCCAGTGAGGTCAAAAAGCTTCTTTTAGGTTAGTCTATTATTGACTGTTTCGGGCACATGGCATTTTTTTGTCTTTCTATTTATGTTTTTCTCCTGAAGATGTTAGGATGATGTATGTTTGCGACTCTACATGACTATATGTAGTGTACGAGCATGCTAGTTCTGTTTGTGTGTGCAGCAGTAATAACTCTGAATATCTGATCCATAGGTGATGTCTTCATTGCTTTCAATGGGCTCACTTAGAAGTAAAAAAGGAAAACATCATTGCTGTATTTTCTTCCAGACTTCCTAAGAAAGGCACCACTTAGGAAACACATCTAGAAGTTGAGCCGTTACCTTAAGTTTATATCTGTCTATCACATGCCTTCAGTACCATGCCATTTAACTAACATAATTTGCTCCTCTCGAAAGTGAAAATAATGACTTGCAAATTGCAATGCCCTTTCAGATGGAACTCCATCGACCTTGGTCAGCATAATTGGATACAAGCAGTACCGACGCAGCGCAAGGGACATGTACTACTTCCTCCAAGTAAGTAAAACTCAAAATCCCTGTAATCTAAGCTCTAAGATGAGACATCATTCTGATCTCCACAACATTAACGATGTGCTGCAGTCCAACGTCTGTATCAAGCAGCTCGCATATGCAATGCTAGAGCAGGTCCTTGTGACAGTCTTCCCAGAGCTTCGCCAGCTAATAGACGACATACATGAGAAAGGCCGCAAAGAGCAGGCCTCATTCACATACCAACTCTGACCCAAGAGACTGTCAGGATAAAACATGCTACTTCAGAGAGAATCGTAACAGTTTTGAACCCACTTGCATTGCTCCACGGTGAGTTACTGAAACACAAAGGCTTTGCAATTGTATTTCCGTGGTGCAAAGTTGGATTGATGAAGCGCTTGGTGTTTAACGAGGCTTATACCCCAACAACGATCTGTACAGATGTATATCAGAAGTTGTGTAAATTAGCCCCCTGATGTAGTAAACCAGAACAACTTACAGTAAGATCTTGTAGGTGTTGAATGTATGGTAGCATTCTTTAATTCTTTCCCCCAAGATTTAAGCTATTCCCTCCCTGTCTTAGGCTGAGGCTTCAGGCTTGTAAAGTTTTGAAGGTCAAGTGTATAGCTGTACTGTATGTGTTGCTGAGTAAATCAAAATGTTGTACGAGGTGCCACCTCGGTTTTCACAATATTTGTCCGGTCTGCATACTTAGGAGGCAAAGGTATGTAATTTTTTTCTTACCAAATTAAGTGATTCTTTATTGTTTTCGATAAAATATAGCTACTATATAATTATCCAAAGAGCGCAAATTTACTTGGATTTTATTAAGTATTACTCAGATATTATGCCGTCTAGGTACGTGTATCAGTGTCAGACAAATATTGTGAAAGGAGCGAGTGATAATACCGCAAGAGACAGCAACCTTACATGTATCAGTTTCAGAAGCATGTATGCTTCTGAAACGTAGACTAGAGACATTACTTGATGGATCATCCTCCTGATTCTCGAAATAACTCCTACTGAAAATGCCAGTCGTTGTTGTCTCATGTCTCATGTCTCATGTCTCATGTCTGACATAAGCTATCCTTGAGATATTAATTACGAGACACGGACATGGACCATCGTGATCATGGGCAGTTGAGCTCGTTCCTTGGTCTTCCTGGCATTGGTTAACTATTGTTGCCCTGTTCGTTTGACTGATAAGCCATGACTGAAAGTACTGTTGGTTGGTTTGTTGTGAGAGAGAAACTCTGTTTGTTAGCTGAAAAATTACGCTTATATGCCAAAAGAACAGGGCGCGTGACTTGCCGACTTGGACTTGGTGACACCTCTGACCGGCTTGAATGAAACGCTTAAATGCATGCGTGTGGACCAGGCTTGGCTGGCTCGTGCAGAAGACTACGAGACCTTGCGCCTTGCGCCTGGGATCTGTGCGCATTCCTCTCCTCGGCGTGCACCTGTTTTGGTTGGCGGTTGGCCTTGTAGGTTGTCCAACTTTCCATGGCGTCTACTGAGGGAGGTCCCCCATAGGACCTAGCTACACCGCACAAATGTCGTTCTCAGTGTGGGATCGAGGCCAAGGTGACACCAATAGCGCATAATGTCGTTTCTTGAAGAAAAAAAATGTTGGGCATGGGATGGGTGAGGATGATATCTGTGATGAAACCGACATCGACGGTCACTGCCATGCTGGCCCGGGTTGCGCACTGTAGTGGTGTGGAGGTTTAGAGTCGCCGTCGATTGAATCATATGAGCACGCACGCGTAACAGTGATGTATGATCCAGAATGAAAAAGAGAACAAGACTTGGAAAAGTTCACTTGGATTGGATTAGATGACGATGGATTTGGAACGGCGAGATGTAGATATGTATATCATGTATTCATGTGTGCTATGGTTTTCATCTGTCAGCGGTACCGTGTGGTGTACCATTTGTGATGTCTATTGGCACCTTTTTCTTTTGCAAAACTCTCAAGAGCACATTACTTATCACTGGAAGAATAGAAAATAGCTAATTGCTGTACAATGCGAACACAGACGTTGTCACCACAGAATAAATCTAAGAAAATAGCTAGGACAGGTTCTAACACAAGAAACCTAACTAGAGCTACGTTTAATTAGCATTTGCACCGTTACAAATTGTAATTGAAGATATGGTGGTTGCCCTATCGCTCTCTGGCTGGCTGTTTCAAAGGATGAACATCCTTAAATATTATATCCTATATTGTCACTGCACCTACAGACTACAGTTCTTTGTTTGGAAGGAGGCAGGGACTTGTTTGGTCTAAATGCACTCCATCTGTCAATCTGGCGGTGGAATACGCAAGTTTGAATACATATTTATCTGTAGACAAGTCGGATCAGCATACAAGTGCATCGCCTTCTCCAGAATATCAAGGGACGACTTGGGACCCCAACCATAGAATGCAGAGTTTGTTGTTTTGCTGGAGTGGAATAATAGGCTTATTTACCAATAATAATCGTGATCGATAATGATGACGTACCTGCAAATGTTTGATCTCAGCTTTTATGAAAGAGTACATCTATAGATTCAAGAGGCTAGGGTTTATTTATCGTCTATTGATACGGGAATTTTGCTCGATCGAGAGGCTAATTCACCAAATGTAAATAAACTACTTGGCTCTAAGTGGTGGGCTCATGTTCTAAATTTAAATAGCAAATCAGAACCCACCAGCTACCTTCACCACCGAACAATATATGCCTGAATCACTCGCTGATTTCAATTTTTTGTAAAAGGAATCAGGATTAAGGAGGGGTCGTCCAGCTATAAATCTGCTTACGAACCCAGTTCCCACATAGAACTAGTTTGTATGTGTATCTCTCTTAAACATCCATGATTGCTTTATACAAAAGATTAAATCCGAAGGTACTACCCATGTAATGACAAGGATTATATGTTGACCCGAACATGTTGTCTCAAGTTAGGATTAATTCTATAAGAACAGAACACATGCTAGAACAGGTTGAACCAGAACACTAATGAACCAAGGTATTACGATTACATAACCCATGGACACAACTACCAAATTCCTAAGGCTAATGGCCGAATATCATGATGCATGGTTCGTTTTGGTCGGTGATTGAATTCAGGTACGTGCATCAGTCACGTCGACGGATATGACGATGACACCAGTCACTGGATAATAGTGCACCATTGCTGTGCATGCACTTCATTTTTTTTCTCTTTTCATCAATCCTTTAGGCGTTATTTTCTTTAGTGGCCGGATGCTCTGATCGATCAATAATCTAGATTATTGCACTGGGATATGGCGTGTCGCATTATTATTATTGGTCACAATTGTCGCAATATATAATAAGTAAAATCCATAAGCACCCATTATTTTGGAGCGTAGAAATCACATTGGATTTCCATAGTAATCTAATAACAATGCGACGTGACTGATGGGCATTAGAGATTAGAGATCTGGTGGATCTGGGTAGCGGCATGATGAGAACTGCAGCCCTGTTCGTTGGTTGGTTTCTGGGCTGATAAGTCCGGCTGGTGCTGGTTTGTTGTGAGAGGAAAACACTGTTGGCCGGCTGATAAGCCCTGGCTGAAACCAACAAGCGAACAGGCTGCTAATAAGATAAGGTAAGGTAAACTTCTAGTGTCCCCTAACTAGCTAGTCCCACCTCTACTTAGCTACAAAAGGTAGCTCCATCTACACCTTGTGACATATGGCTTTGTCAGTTGAAAGTCGAAGATGGCCGGGTGCTCGGATCCTGACCGCTGGCATCATGATAATATCATAACAAAATTTATTTACGATGAAGATAAAAAGAGACACCTTTTACATCTAATTTGAAGAAAATGCTTCTCTTGGGTAGAAAAAGATACTAAAGGTCCTATTTGAATTCATAGGACTAACAACTAGTTTGCTAATTTTTATCCCCTATATATAAGAATTTAAACAGACAAGCTAATTGTTAGTCTACTAGTTATGGACTAGTTATTAGTCCATTAATGTATAGATATAAGTTAACAGAACTAGTTGTTAGTCCTAGTCTTAACTAACCCAAAAGCCTCTTTGAAATACTGGATTTTTTTTCTGTTTCTATGTTTTCCTGTAAAAATGAACGAACTTATGTAAAAATGTTCTGTGTTCCAATAAGTGACCATGCATAATATAAGTGAGCCTTACAGCGCCTTAGTTAGACTAGCAGCTATCCGGTCTTGCGTAGGGCCCTTGAATTTGCATTGCGCAACAAGTACATGGATGCATGCAAGTCAGATACAATGTCGCACAAGGCTGCGCATGATCAAAGGCCGGATTGGGACGTCTCTCCCTGGCCGTCTTGATCCAGCGCCGCGCTAGCTTCCAGTCCAATCAGATAATCTTAACTTCTAGGTGGAGGTCCCTGTCCTATATTCCTATATATCATTAGGACACGGGCTTATTAGGGTCAGTTATCTCTGCGTGCACACATGCACGCAGATAGTAAGGTCTTGGTTAGTTCCTTCCCATAAAGTTTACTTCATATTCCATTGAATATTTGACACGTGCATAGAATATAAATATAGACTAAACAAATAACTAATTGCACAGTTTGCGACTAATTTGTTAGACGAATGTTTTAAGCCTAATTAGTATATGATTTGACAATGGGGTCCTACAGTAACACATGTGCTGATAACGGATTAATTAGGCTTAATAAATTTGTCTCACAGATTACTGACGGATTCTGTAATTTGTTATTTTATTAGTATCCGAATACTCCATGCGACACCCCCATGCGACACCTGATGTGACACCCCAAAACTTTACACACTGAATTTAAACGAGACCTAAATGGCATTGGGTAGCACTGTCTCACCAATGATTCAAAACACATGCATGTCAGCTGGGGTATACGGAGTACTATAACGGCAGGACAACACATCAACCATCAACTAACATTGGATACTCTTTATAACCACTAGAGCTTCATTCAATCTGCTACGCTTCATGCATGTCCATATATAATCACTCTTGGTAATTAATAATTATGTCAACAATTATGCGTGCATTGGTAGTGCATGTCCATATATAATCACTCTTGGTGCGTGTTAGTAATGGCCTCTTTAGAACAAATGGTTCCCAAGAAAATTTCTACTACTACTGCATAATATCCTATATGCAGATATAATGCAGTTGAAATGATCAAAGAACGAATTTTGTCGGTGGCAATAACTAGTGCTACACTGCTATACTTTAGAATTGTTACAAAATTTTAATATTCAACAGGAAA